AACATGACCGCTATAATGGCGGAGGAGGTTTTCATGATTTTACATATGTGAACACATGGTCTATGTGTGAAATGCAATTTCAACACATGTAATTGTCCTTCTATCATGTAAACAAAATCAAAGCTACATTTTTATAAATATCTCCTAAAATAGATATAAAAATCCATTTTTAGGTATTAAAAATAATGAAAATTTGCCGAACAAAGATTTTAAATAAAATTACAAGACATATGTATAGAAATAAATTTAATATTTTATAAGGAGGAAAAATAAATAATGTGTAGAAAATATAATATTTTCCATCTAGGAATTACTCAGTATCCTAAGAAAAATATACCATTTCTACCTAACTCTGCCATCACAATTAGCACAAATTCACAAAAATGTAGAATGCAAAGTAACAAAAATTGAGAATATAATGGGCTATATGGTATATATGTAAAGAATTTTTAATATACCTTTACAATATAAAATAATTTGAGTTTTTTTTTTTAAAAAAAAAAGTTCATAAAATAAATAGTAAAATGTGATGTGCTATAAAATTATTACAAAGATTAAAAAAATGTAATATGCAGCATAAATTTACAAAAAAAATTTACACAAAAAACAACTTTTTCCAGTATGCAAACTAAACAATATTCCCACCTCAAGGCATACCCATCAACATGAGCTGACTTTATCTGTAAAAATATTTTCCCTTCACATCATTGCATACCATAAAAATAATATAATAATTGCAAATAAAATCTTTTATAAAATTTTATAATTTAAAAAAAAATATATATATATTAAATATAGAGATTTCATAATTTTTAAAAAAAAATATTACACTTCATCTAATATATCATATAAATCCCTACCCAATTTATAAATATATAAAATGCAGACACTAAATCAAAATAACTATCCACATCTAACATTATAGATATTATTCTGACTTCATCATACTTCAATTCCTTTAAATTATCATTCATAATTAAATATATCGTGTAATTCACATTACACCCTATTTCAGAAAAATGGTTAATTACTTCAAAATAAACAACATTAACTCGCCCTCAATAGATCCCTTAATAACATATCAACCTTAATTGAAACTGAATTACATATACAATATATTAACATTAATTAATAATAAATGATCCCACACATGTCTATCCCTTTAAAACCCCAAAATGCTTAATTATACAATACACATTTTATTACAAAAGTCTATTTCCATAAATATATTCCTAAATTTCAAATATTTAGCAATCCTTTCTGTCCTGCTGATCTTGAGGTCTTAGCTTCCTATGACGGAATACCTATAACACCATTCAATGAGTCTTAAGGCGTATCAAATAATGATCAAAATTGGATGTACCATATACATCTAGACATATAATATACCAAATATTACTGTCTTAAATTCCTGATCTTATTTTCATATTCCTGCCTAATACTCATTACATACTTTCATATGAAATTACAGAAACCCTTAAACTCACCTTTTCCTGACCCCCTGTATCGTGGTTAGTACTACTTCGCTGCCAAAAATTTATCAGATAAAATATATATCAACAAAAATTTTGTTTTACCTTTAAAACCGCATTAATCCCTAAGTAGATCCTGTCGACGGCAACAATAAAACGATCCATCTTTATTCATAATTATATTTATCTATCCATTAAAAAAAATATAAAGATTATAAATAATAATTATCCAACTTCATATATTCTTCATTCCCAAAGGCCCATTCTTTGTTCCTCCCAGCTGTCATCTTCTCCAATTAATCCAATATCTTCACCCCAAATCTCCAACAAAAGACTTTTCTTTAACAATAAAACATGTGTTCCCTTCATTCTCTTCCCATCCACCAGGAAAGACTAATTCCCCTGTCAGAAAATAACTGACATTTGATGTATTATATTAAATTTATTTCTTCTTTTTTTCAACAGCTACAACAGGCATTATATATTGCCAATGGACTCTATGTGACTAAGAAAATTTTTTTTTAACCCTTGTCTAATTTGAACCATAAATTAGACCAAAATTGACCACCAAAACCTTCATAAATTGAACAACATAAAAATATGACCAAATATTTTGAACCTTGACCCGATATAAACCTTTTAAATATTACTTTTAAGATAAATTAGAAAAGAAAAAAAATCGAGTATATCTTCTCATATTATTTACCCTTCTTATTTTATCCCAATTTTACATGATCGTGATGACGGATCACAGTAACCCCGGTTATTAACAAAATTTCACTTAATTTCGAACCCCGGTTTACTATTACCCCACCTCTTTCCCACTTTTTTCCCCGATTGTCAAACAATCTGGTCCAAACCTTCTGGCCCACTGAAAACTTTACCCCTAATTTTACTCCCACTGAGGTAATAATTTTCCTCCTTGGTTTTAAGAAATTTAAAGGATCCCGTGTTCGCCTACCTAAAAATAATTCTACAGGCGTAACCCCCTCTCGATTGCGAGAATTAAGGTAATATAATTGAGACATGTAAGCCTCCTCCTTACGATCACCAACCTTCCTAATCCAATTTCTAACAATTGCTACCATCCTTTCAGCCTGTCCATTCGAGCTGGGATGATATGGCGGCGTAAGAATATGCTGGGTAGAGGACTGGGCTGTCCGTAGCCCGACCCGACCCGAAAATAAATAATAATATTAATATCTTAAATAGTCAGTATAATTTATAATATTAATTATAAAATCGTATTATTTAATATTTATCACATTTTAGGATTAAAATGTCATGTCATTTTTAATTATTATTTTATAAACCTAACAACCGGATACCAAACTATTTTATCACTAAATTGTGTGTTTCCCGTGAATTACAATATAAGACATATTTTATGTACTAAAGATAAGTTTTATTCATTATTTATTATTTATCTAGCCTATATACATTGTCTTTTTTAACATTTGTTTTAAAAAATTTCCATATAAAATTTAAGATTGGGATTTGATTCAGGGGAACTTATTTCTATAATTTAAATTTCACTACCATAAATGTTAATCATCCTAGAAATTAAAAAATATTATATAAAATTGGTAATGATATTCTAAGTTACATTTATATATAAAATATAATCTTTACTTATTTCGTTTTGGTATTATTATTTTTTTATCTATCTACCTTAATATGAATTGTAAATTTTCCAGCTAATTTTGGTTGTCACTATTTTAAAATATGGCAGAAAAAAATTAGGAAATTAATACAAGATTCTCAAAGAAAATAAGATGTATACTGTGATATGTAAAATTTAAAACATGAATATTAAAAAGAATCTGTATCTGTATCTTTTGTCAAGAAAATGAAAAAATACAAGATTCTTTTCAGAATTAAGGATCTTAGATACAGATATTAGTATCTTATTAAAAATGTCAAAATATACTGAGTACAAGATATAAAGGGATCTTGTATCTTAGATACAAGTATTCGCAGTACTGCCCAACTCTGTTTATTTCAATCTAATTGATTAAAGTCATTTTAAATATTTTTTTTAGATTTTAGACACAGCCATATTAAAAAAATTATCTCAATGGATGCAAAATTAAAAAGAATTGGTGAAAAGATTAAGACAAAAGAGTATGAAGTAAGGGAGAATCTTAATCGAAAATCCGATGTATGGAAGAAATTTTCATTTATATATGATGAAAATATTTGTATTATATGCAAATTTATTTATGTATATAATTCAATAACAAGAGGTTAGATATTTATACATAAAATATGATCTTATTAAATTATTTTAGGCACAAATCAACTTAAAAGACATAAATGTGTATATACAAATACAAGTACAACAGCAGAGAGTAAAAAGACACAATTAACAATTGATAGTCTTTTTGGTACTGATCCGAAAAAACTCAAAAGTTGTACAAAATTGAAAAAAGAGTGCACAAAGGTGCTTACTATGTTTTGTGGACGTGATTTGAGATCATTTGATACAATTGAAGGGGAAGGGTTTGTTGATTGTTGCCAAAATTGGTTCAATATATGGAAATATTGATGTTAAAAGCATCATTCCAAATCCTACGACAATTTCTAGAAATTTAGTAGATACTGCTGATGGTATCCGCAATAAATTATTTCTTATATTAAACTCATATATGAAAAAGGGTCGATGTGCTGGTAACAAATTTATACAAATATGGTTAAATTATTAATAATTTTTTATGGCCCCCACAGACCTTTGGACTGATGATTATAAAAAAATATCATATGTAACTCTAACAATTTATTAGTCAGCCAATCGACATAGCAACGGTACGCCACTAGGAATGTATCAATTATTCTTTAATATTTTATTCATTGATTCCTTTTTTATTGGTGGATAAAGAAAACTTTTGACTATTTACATAAATTATTCATAAATCAACCATTTATACTTTTTATAAAATAATAAGATTTTGAGGTTGTGTCCGAAATACCAAAAAAAAGAATGAAATTCATAAACTTTCAAAACTTTCATAATAAAAAAAAAATAAGTTTTTATAAATTTCATGAAATTTTACGTTTCAAATTTTGATTTGAAAATTTTGGAATTTTTTTTTAAAAAAAAGAATATTTATTTTAATTTATTTTATTTTATTTAATATTTTTTTATATATTTTTTTTATGATTGGATAAAGATTAAATAATTTAAATTCTTATTTTAGCGGAATATTTATTTTATTTTAATTTATTCTAATTTATTTTATTTAATATCTTATTTAATATTTTGTTATATGATTTATTTTTTTTGATTGGATAGAAGGAAGATTAATTAAAATTCTTCTTTCATTTTAGCAGTTGTTTTTTTTTTAATAAAATCAAAATATTATTTATTTTTTTTAAAAATAGTTTTAGGGTGATTTTTATTCTCCGAAAAGAGACGTCATTCTTTAAAAAAAAATGTGATTTTTTTTTGACTTTTTTTCTTCTCCGAAACATGACATTTTATTTTTTATTTTGTCGTTGTCATCTTTTAAAGAAAGATTTAATTTTAAAAAAAATTATTTGTTTTGTTTAACAAAACGTTAATTTTGAGATAGGGAAAAGATGATAATGATCAAAACGTCTAAAAAATCAATCATTTTCTTGACCTGTTTGGTGTGGGTGTTAGAAAATAATTGTCTAGCTCATCCAGATGCCATTACCGATGAGTACGTATCGGAAGAGAAGTGCCCAGCTTTACCCCAAAATAAGGATTGTTACTGCGACGTCATGGAGACTAAAACGACAGAAATGGAAATCGAAGGCAAACAAATTACAACTACCGCTAAGTATTTTTCTCTGAGTTGCAATTCGATCCGCGAACAAAAGGATTTACTGGACGCGTTACGAATCTTAACCGAGGCTGCTTCTTATAACATAAGCTTGCAAGTGAAAAATAGTCGATTTGATTTTATATCGCGGTTTGCCAAGGAGCTTGAAAAAATAAAAAATGCCGGCTCCAAAAAACGCCGACCAGTTAATATCCGAAGGTTATCACTAGACTACATTAAATTTAATAGTATAGAACCCTACGCCTTTCAGCCATTGTCCGAAAATCTCGTTTCACTGTCCATATTCGATAGCCCGTATAAGCCGACCCTGACAGGGCCCAAGCTTGGTATGCTTTACGAAGCATTGAAACCCCTAGAAAACCTGGAAACGCTTGATATAATCATTCCGGAAGAATTCGAATTCGACGCCTCATTCTTTGAAAACTTTCCCAACCTTAAAACGCTTTTCCTGATGTTACCCAACTTGCGACATCTCAAAAATTCTAGAGGGTTTAGGTCCTTAACAAATCTTAAAAAATTGATGTTCACGAGCAAATTGCCTTACCTCCCGAAATCGATAGTCTCGCTTCCTCATTTAAAAATATTGCATTTCTATTCCGGTTCGCTGACAACTTTCCAAAATGATACCCTGAGCAGCTTTGGCCCTGAATTAAGGGAACTCGATTTATCCAATAGCCACATTTATAAAATCCCGGTCGGCACTTTTCAAAAGATCCTCAAATTAGAAGATCTTGCTTTATCCGACAACCATCTTGAGTCATTGCCACCCTTATGCTCACCATCGCATTCTTCTATCGATATCGCTAGAGAGAAAAATGAAGACATTACCATTGAAAGAGATGTGCATGGCAAAGCCGAGACCAAAAATAATTTGAATCGCCTGGACCTGTCTCATAATGAATTCAAGGATGGCTCTCTTACGAAGGAGACGTTTGCTAGTTGTACCGGCCTTACACATTTATTGTTGGATGATAATCACCTCTCAAGCTTGCCCGGTGATATGTTAGACGATTCCCGAAATAGCCTTCAGGTACTTTCATTCAGCGAAAATAGGCTTAAGCAGTTTCCCAGTTCGCTGTTATCCAAACTGAATAACCTCACACATCTCAACCTCGGTAAAAACGAGATCCAAAATGTGCCCATTCTTGCTTTCGAAAATAATCCCAAACTCCAATATATAAACTTAAACATGAATAATCTTAAGGAATTCGATATGGATACCTTGTTATCGGCCAAGCGTTCCTTGAGCATACTCGATCTTAGCAAAAACCATATGAGCTCCTTCGATTTCCAATATTTGGAGTATTTCGATAACCTGACTCACCTAGATCTAAGTTACAATAATTTAACGAGCGTGGAAGGATTGGTAGATTTAGAATTGGTCCACCAGCATATATATGCCATCTCTCTAGAAGGTAAACATATTATTAATAATTACCCCCCCCCCCCCATTATTTCTTTGTAATTTACCTCTTAGAACCTATTTTCATTAAAACTCAACAAAAAATATTTTCCACTGTCACTATAATTATTTTCCCGCGTTTCTAAATATGAATAAGATATTATCTGCGGCAGATAGCAGCTTATATTATATTTTTTGAAATTTATTCTCATATATGAAATAATAAGGGGGTTTTAAATAAACGCCTTGCAAATTTTTTTTTTTAAATTTCCTTTCGAATCTAATTTTGTGTCTTTTTTAAATTACAATAACGCGCCAGTTCTGTTAAATTTTAACATTTTGCAAAATATACAATCATTAATAGTTTAAAATGCTAGTTTAATCGGCGAACTCAATATTTTATCCAGAAAACAACATTACGCAAACCTAAAACATCTTGCTCGTAGATGGCACATAGGATTGAGCATTTACCGGAGAAATCTCAATTCTTAGTCACCATTTTCCTGGCTATAAAGTTTAGTTAGCCGTTTTTAAAAAATCAGCTCGAATCGAGCCTTTTAAACATCACTTAATCTATGCCATTTTACATTAAAATTTAAATATAGAAAATTAATTTTTATAATAATTCAAAATAGAAGGTATACATCCCGAGGCTTCCGCAGATCATCTGTTTATTATGGCATCTAGTTTCTATAAAATATAATTAATAAATATAAGATATATATTTTAAAAAAAATTCCAATCCAGTGTAGATGTATTCCAAAGGACTTTTATTAAAAGAGCTGTATAGAGGAAGGAAGGAAGGAAGGAAGGAAGGAAGGTTAACTTTATAAATACATAATAATGCAAATACTTAAAAAGCGAATGTCTCACAAGGTAGTTTTTGCCTATAAGCAAAGGCACATTTCTTTGAAGGTATATTGTCAACTAAATTTTTTTATTCCAAGTACTCATCTGCCAGGAACATCGCTGGAAATATATTAATTTTCTTATATTTATTCATCAATTTATTTTGAATTCACCATTTATAATTTTTGTAATATAAAAAGATTTTGGAGGTCTTGTCCTAAATACCAAAAAAAAACAAAAATTCATGAACTTTCAAAACTTTAATTAATAAAATTAAGAACATGTTCTGCAATTTTATCAAAATTTTAAAATTTGCCAAACTTTTCAGAATTTTTTTAAAAATGATTTTGAACGTAAAAAAGGTTTGATTTTGATTTTATGAGCTTATTTATTTTTTTTATTTTAATTGATTTTTAAATTTGTATTCTATAATAATTAATTATAGATTAAATACATTATTATTTTTATTGGAAAAACATATGATTTGGATAAGAAGGGAATGAAAGATTAAAATCTTTAGCAGTTGTTTTTATTTTACCATAAATTTAAAATATTATTTTTTAAAATATTATACTTTTTTTTCTCCAAAATATGACGTTATTTTTTAAAAAATTCGTTTAGGGTGTTTTTATTTCTCCGAAACGTGACATTTCATTTTTTTATTGTCATCCTTTTAAATAAAAAAAATTAATAAACTTAAAGTCTAAACTTTATAAAAAAAAAATAATTATATATAAATAATCTTATAATTTTAATTTTTGTTAACAAAAACGTTCAATTTTGATAAAGAGAGAAATGATAACTATTAAAACGTCCAAAAAATCTATCATTCTCTTGACCTGTTTGGTGTGGGTGTTAGAAAATTATTGTCGAGCTCATCCGGATGCCATTACTGACGATTACTTATCGGAAGAGAAGTGTCCCACTTTACCCCAAAATAAGGATTGTATCTGCTACGTCATGGAGATTAAAACGGCAGAAAATACCACTGCTGTTAACTATTATTCTCTGATTTGCAACTCGATCCGCGAACAAAAGGATATAGTGGACGCGTTACGAATCTTAACCGAGACTGCTCCTTATAACATCAGTTTGTATGTGAAAAATAGTCGATTTGATTTAATATCGCAAGTTGTCCTTGAGTTAGAAAAAATAAAAAATGCCGGTTCCAAGCAGCACCGACCTATCAATATCCAAAGCTTATCGCTGTACTACAACAAATTTAATAGCATAGCACCCGAAGCCTTGCAACCATTGGCCCAAAATCTCGTTTCACTGTCCATATTTGATAGCATGCATAAGCCGACCCTGACAGAGCCCAAGCTCGCTATGCTTTACGGAGCAGTGAAACCCCTAAAAAACCTGAAAACGCTTCATTTAATACTTCCGGAAGATGAATTCGACGCCTCATTCTTTGAAAACTTTCCCAAGCTTACAACGCTTTCCCTGATCCTACCCCAATTGCGACACCTCAAAAATTCTAAAGGGTTTAGGTCCTTAACAAATCTTAAAGAACTGATATTCACCAGCAAATTGCCTTACCTTCCGAAATCGATAGTTTCGCTTCCTCATTTAGAAAAGTTGTATTTCTATTCCGGCTCGCTGACAACTTTCCAATATGATAACCTGAGCAGCTTCGGCCCTGAATTAAGGGAACTCGATTTATCCAGTAATCATATTGATAAAATCCCTGTCGGCATTTTTCAAAAGATCCTCAAATTAGAAGATCTTGTTTTAACCGACAATCATCTCGAATCGTTGCCACCCCTATGCTCATCGTCGCATTCTTCCACCGGAGAGAAAGATGAAGACAGCAAAGCCGAGACCAAAAATAATAATCTAACTCGCCTGGACCTGTCTCATAATGAATTCAAGGATGGCTCCCTTACGAAGGAGACATTTGCCAATTGTACCTCCCTTACTCATTTATTTTTGGAAGATAATCACCTCTCAAGTTTGCCCGGTGATATGTTAGACGATTCCGGAAATAGCCTTCAAGAACTTTCATTCAGCGAGAATAGGCTTAAACTGTTTCCTAGTTCGCTGTTATCCAAACTGAATAACCTCACATATCTCAGCCTCGGTAAAAACGAGATCCAAAATGTGCCCATTTTTGCCTTCAAAAATAATCTCAAACTACAGTATGTATATTTAAACTTGAATAATCTTAAGGAATTCAATATGAATACCTTGTTATCGGCCCAGCGTTCCTTGAGCATTCTCGATCTTAGCCACAATCATTTGAGCTTCTTCGATTTCCAATATTTGGAGTATTTCGATAACCTGACTCATCTAGATCTAAGTTACAATAATTTAACTAGCCTGAAAGAATTGGTAGATTTAGAATTGGTTCATCACCATATATATGCCATCTCTCTAACAGGTAGACATATTATTAAATAATTAACCCCCCCCACCTCCCCATTATTTCTTTGAGGTTTACCGTTTATAAATTTGACGAAAAATATTTTCCTCTGTCACTAATCATTTTCCCGCGTTCCTATGAAAATTTCAAAGATCGATTTTATTCATATTACTAATATCTTAACAACAAACAGAATTTATTCATTGAACCCAGACATTTTAAAATGACTTCGTCCTGCCTTTAAAATAATTAAACGGGTATAGGCTTTCTCTTTGCCCAACCTTTTTCTATCTCAGCCTACCTCTGCCCAGTAATGGGTAAAAGGCTCTTCATTCCCTTTTACTTAGTACCCAATTTGATTGAATATGAGGAGTACCTAGCGTTAGCGCTGTTGTTAAACAACGCTAAAAGGGTTTAGCGCTTATTTCGCGTATCGCCCGCATATTTATTTATTTTTCTCGGTCCAATTTTTCCGGATCTTATTTCGACTTGTTTCCACAAAATATGTGGATCGGAATCAGATTTTAGAAAGAAAGAAAAAAATCGATAAGTTGTCAATCATTTTTTTTCGACCCCAATATTCTCTCATATTTTTAAGCATTTTATAAATAAACTTAAATTTAAGTGACAAGATTTTTATTTATTTTAAAATTTTATGACAGCTTTTGCCAAAGAGAGTCAAAAAAAAACAATGTTAAATTATTTTAAAAATGTCCACAATGTGTGATATAATTTTTTTTTTTTTAAAGTATATATTTATGCTTTATATATCAATGCTCAAACAGATGTAGAAAGTTACACGGAAGATTGGGCTGGGTCTATGCAGACAGACTCCAAGCTCAAAAAAAACGGTTAAAACTCTTGGATCTACCAAATAAAATTAGAATTAATTTTTGCGCATATATACCTTTACCGAAAAATATTTAGCCACTATAAAGATCCAGACAAAAAGATATAGAAATAATTTTTGAGTAATAACGTTTTTTTAAAAAAATTGAAACGGGGTCTACATGGTCTGGTCTCACCTGTACTTTGAGGGGTTCAAAGTAAATAATCTTTTTAATAGAAATTCAATTTTATACCCTTCAAGTAATCAGAAAATATATTTTATTTTATTATATCATCACAATCATTATTTATCCGCATAATCCCCCCCCCCCCAAACATAATTACAGAAATTTTTATAAAATTTCATAAATTTTTACGTTGCAATTTTTATTAAAAATTTTATAATTTGCGAATATTTCGAAACTTTTAGAATTTTTTTTTAAAATGATTTTGGACATAGCGAGATTAAATTAATATTATTTTAAAGTATATAAAAGGTATGAATTTATGAGGTATTTATTTAAAAAAATTTTTTTTTGTATTTTATATGATTTTAAAATTAAATATATTTTTTTTCGGAAAAATTAGCATGATTGGATAAAGAAAAGAATGAAGATTAAAAGATTTAAATTCCGGTTGTTTTTATATAATCAATATCGTAAAATCACCAAAACATGACGTTTAAATATTTCATTTATCGTTTAGGGTGATTTCAAAAAATGACATTTCAATTTTTTTTTGTCATCGTCATCTTTTAAATAAAAAAAACTATAATTTTATAAAAATTATTTTAATATAATTTTTTTTTGTTTTTGTTTTTGGTTTAACATTAATTGTGAGAAAGAGAGAAATGATAATTATTAAAACCTCTAAAAAATCTATCATTTTCTTGACATGTTTGGTATGGGTGTTGGAAAATCATTGTTGTCGAGCTGACCCTGATACTAATGACGACGATTACATATCGGAAGAGGAGTGCCCCGCTTTACCCCAAAATAAGGATTGTCACTGCGACGTCATGGAGACTAACACGACAGAAATCGAAGGCCAGCACGCCACAACCACTGCTAAGTATTATTCTCTGAGTTGCATTTCGATCCGCGAACAAAAGGATTTATTGGAAGCGTTACGAATCCTAACCGATGCTGCTTCGTATAACATTAGTTTGCGTGTGAAAAATAGTCGATTTGATTTTATATCGGACTTTGCCCACGAATTCGAAAAAATGACAAATGCTGGCTCCAAACAACGCAGACCTATCAATATCCAAAGCTTATCGCTGTTCTACAACAAATTTAATAGCATAACCCCCGACGCCTTTCTGCCATTGGCCCAAAATCTTGTGTCACTGTCCATATTCGATAGCACGGATAAGCCGACTCTGACAGGGCCCAAGCTTGATATGCTTTACGAAGCATTGAAACCCCTGAAAAACCTGGAAACGCTTGATTTGATCATTCCGGAAGAATTTGAATTCGACGCCTCATACTTTGAAAACTTTCCCAAGCTTGAAACCCTTTCCCTGATGTTACCCAATTTGCTACACCTCAAGAATTCTAAAGGGTTTAGGTCCTTAACAAATCTTAGAGAATTGATAATCACGAGCAAATTGCCTTATCTTCCGAAATCTATAGTCTCTCTTCCTCATTTAGAAATGTTGTATTTCTATTCCAGTTCGCTGTCAACTTTCCAAAATGATATCCTCAGCTTTGGCCCAGAATTAAGAGAACTCGATTTATCCAGTAATCACATTGATACAATCCCTTTCGGCACTTTTCAAAAGATGCTAAAATTAGAAGATCTTGCTTTATCTGACAATCATCTCGAGTCTTTGCCACCCTTATGCTCACCGTCGCCTTCTATCATCGATATCGCTGGAGAGAAAAATAAAGACATAGCAATTGAAAGAGGTGGTGTTCATTCTGGCAAAGCCGAGAGCAAAAATAATAATCTGACTCGCCTGGACCTATCTCATAATGAATTTAAGGATGGATCCCTTACCAAGGAGACGTTTGCCAGTTGTACCTCCCTTACAGAATTATTCTTGGATGATAACCATCTCTCAAGCCTGCCCGGTGATATGTTAGACGATTCCCGAAATAGCCTTCAAGAACTTTCATTCAGCGAGAATAGGCTTAAACTGTTTCCTAGTTCGCTGTTATCTAAACTGAATAACCTCATATATCTCAGTCTCGGTAAAAACGAGATCCAAAATGTGCCCATTTTTGCTTTCAAAAATTATCGCAAACTCCAGTATATATACTTAAACATGAATAAACTTAAGGAATTTAATATGAATACCTTGTTATCGGCCAAGCGTTCCTTGAGCATTCTTGATCTTAGCAACAACCATTTGAGTTCCTTCGATTTCCAATATTTGGAGAATTTCCATAACCTGACTCGTCTAGATCTAAGTTACAATAATTTAACCAGCGTGAAAGGATTGTTAGATACAGAATTGATCCATCACCATATACATGCCATCTCTCTAGAAGGTAGACATATTAATTATTTCATTGAGGTTTACTCAGAGTCTAATTTTATTAAAACTCACTCAACAAAAAATAAATCGAACAACAACAGACATTTATTTACTGAACATTCCCCCTAAATATATGTGCATTTCTCGGGTATAGGCTTTCTCTTTGCTCAACCCTTTCCATCTCAGCCTACAGAACTTTAAACGAGTTCCCTCTGCCCAATAATGGGTAGAGGGCTCTTCCATATGGGAATAAGAGGAATACCTAGCTTTAGCTCTGTTGTTGAACAACGCTAAGAGGGTTTAGCGCTTAAATCGCGTATCACCCACGTATTTATTTTATTATCTCGATCCAATATGTATCTAAGCCGATTCTCATTTTCGACTTGTTTCTCTATAAAATATTTGGATCGTAATCAGATCTTAGAAAAAAAGAAATAGATAAGTTGTCAATTTATTTTTATTCTTCCATATTGACATATTTAAACAGTTATTATTATGATTTTTTTTTTATTTTAAAATTTTATGCCAGCTTTTGCCAAGAGAGTGTCAAAAAAAAACAAGTGATAAATTATTCTTTAAAAATGATCCCGACAAATATTTAGAAAGAATTTTGAGTAATAAAATTGGAATGGAATCTGCTTAACCCCACCTGCACTATGGGAGGTTTAATTTAAAGTAAATAATTCATTTCACTATATCAGTTAGAATTTCAATTTAAGATGAGTGAATTTCATAGTATAGATTTTTTAACAATTTTTTCTTAAAATTGTAATTGTTTTTTATTTGTTTTTTTTAAAAAATAAATATACAGTGTTTTATATATATATTTTTAAAAAAAAACACAATCTAACCTTCGACAACCCCCTCCCCCCCTCCTCCCTCTCCTCATTTTAAAATAATTTTTAATAAAATTTTTTTTTTGTAAAATAAACCATCTTAATAAATTAGTTTATAAAAACGTTATCATTTATCGTTTTAGGGTATTTTAGAAATTAATATACTTTGAAAGAAAAATTACGATAATTTTTAAGATTTATGTTTGCCGAAATAAGTACGCTCATTTTAATTTAATTTATTTATCTTAAGGACCTGTCTGTGCAAAAAATCGCAAAAAATTAGGAAAGAAGAAATAAAAAAAATATTAAAATAAAAACGTGTCCAAATATATAATTATCGAAACTTTAAAAATTTTCAAAAATTTATTAAAATTTTAAAACTTCCGAAAAGTATGAAAACTTTATAAATTTTTTTAGAGTAAAAAATTATTGTAATGTTTAGGTTTACAGTTACTCTTTCTCTTTCTAATAAGTAGGAATGAGAATTCTGCGTTATTTAAATTCTTTATTTTGCAACTCCCCAAGAACCATTTTCCAGAGTAATTTCTTACTGTCATCTGTCATCATATGTTACCTGTTCATTTATTAAAAGATACTTTTAAAATGGATCTAGATACAGATACATCGCCTATACCACATTTTTATATCTAGGTATAAACCACTCATTAAATCATTTTTCATCGTTATTTTGAGTGTGTGCCATTTTGTACAATTACAGGCTAAAGATAATTAATTTTTCTAAAAAAGCGTCGTTCATTTTTCATTCAAAATTCGGCTCCCGATTGATTTGAATATCCTATTCCTCTCACACATAGATCCAATTAATTTATCTTGCGAACTTTTCAAAATGGCGCATACACACGAATGGGAAATTTTTTTTTTGATTTTATTAGATGCGACTGGGCGTAGATAGTTGTCAAATTTGCGGGGTTCGATAAATAACATTTGCAGCTGATGACAATTTGGGGGCCCAGAAATTGAGCCTAAATTTTGTGATAAAATTTGGAGCATACCCGGCTCGGGCCTTAAATGGGCCGGTTCGGTTTCGGTTTTAAAAGCTGATAAGGTCGGGTTTGGCCCGGGGCTTCTGGCTGATGCGAATGATATTTGGTTTTGGTGGACTGAATCCAAAATAAGGAATGCCAAAGTTCGATCTGGGTTATACCAAATTAGACTCGGAATGATAGTATTTTTAAATACTAAACCCATGAAACCAACTATTTATACAATTCATGGGGGAAATGCCAAAGTATATAAAATAGGAATTTTGAAAATTGTTTTAAAAATCAGCCTATCATATTTACAGGCCCATAATTTGGAATTTTGACTTAATGAGCATTGAGGGATGGAGCAAAGCTAATCTAGAGGTTAGGATAAATGCTTGAACAGCAAAACTCAGGTTCTAATATAGTTTAATATTAGTTACAATTTAATACCATTTTATAAAATATGAATAAAGGTATTCAGATATATTAATATTATTATGATAGTCATTTGGAAATTTATATTATAAATTGGGAAGGAGATTTTTATCTTTAGAGGAGATAGACTCCAATAAAGTTACGGTCGTGCCCACTTAATTTGAAATTGGCTTTTTTTTTTACCAGGAGTTCTATAATGTTTAATCAGTTTAATCCAAGGACCAGTAACAAACTTGCTCCGTTCCCATTTTGGAACATTCCGAAACGGGTTCAGACTCGGCCCGTATTCCGACTTTATTATAAATAGAATTTTCGGAGGAGCCAGGCCCCCTTAAAGTTACGGTCATGCATACTTAATATGAAATTTGCTTCTTATTTTTTCCGAATCCTATAATGTTATTCAATTTTAACCAAGTATCCAGGAACAATTTTTGCCATCTTGTTCCGTTCCCATTTTGGAACATTCCGAAATGGGCTAAGACTCGACCCGTATTCCTACTTCATTACAAATTAATTTATAAACCCACCTTATGAAACCAAATATTTTTATAATAGGCTAAGATTAATTTTTATCATGTTACTTATTTTCAAATCAGCTGATTTAAATCGCGTTTATATTTTAATACTTATTTTTTAAATGCATGCTAACAGGCAACCCATTGGTCTGTGATTGCGATACTTATCTACTGGCTCAATGGTTTCACGAAACATCTGGTTTGATCGATTTCCCGAAAAAATTAGACTCTACCACTTGTAGCAACCCGTCAAAGGGCCTGCACGAAATCAATATTCTGAACGAAACTATGATCGACATTTTAATGCCACATTGTGAACCACCTTCGCCGTCCGACGATACTCACGATAATCATTTTTCTTCTTCTTCACCGCTAGCAGCTAAACGTCCGGGTGAGCAGAACTCCGGAAAAAAGAAAACCTCCTCCGCCATTATAGCGGTCATAGCTACGCTGTTTGGCGTCGCAGCCATCATTCTGGTAGCCTTATTAATGACAGGTCGCATTTTCAACAAATGTAATTTCGCGAATACCCCGTTACTTTCGAGATTTTCGTCGCCTTTCAAACATAGAAACGGTACCCTGAAATTTTGGAATACCGGAACTTCTGATCGTATTAGATTCGTTAATAAAGAAGACAGCAACAGTACTCTTCCCACGTCCCTGGCATAGATGACATGTATAGCGTTTTTTAAATCACGTAGTCTTCGTTTGCAATATCATAGTGAAACTACTTTGAACCTGATTATGATTGAAAGTGCTAAGATAGATATTGTTTATAAACTATTTTTTTTTATATTTAAGACTCAGGGAAAAAAAATATTTTTTTGTAAATTTTGATAATCATACTTATATATAAATCGTTGTTATTTACTATTATTATTATTATTATTATTATGTTTAATATTCATCATCTTTATTATGATGAAAGATTTGTAATTTTTGTATATAAATAAATAGAATAAAAAAATTTTAGGTACGGATACCACCAAAAAAAAAAATTTAAAGCTATGATGAAAACTCTTTTTATTTTTAATTGTCACTTGTCAAGATTAGCGAATAGACTTTTCTCAGATCTTCTAATTCGTGCTGTTCTAGTTTTTCTAGTAGATATATAGTGTCAGTCATAGATATTACTGAATATAGTTAGTTCTTATTTATTTTTAGTCAAAATATGTACATAATTTAGATTGAGAAAAGACTCGCCGGCCAGATATTTTAAATAACGGAATGTGTTAATTTGCTAAAAAAAAAAAATTTCTAGTAAGTTTTTTTTTTTGCAGGCTCTGAAGTTGACAATCATCGTTATAACGGGATGGGTATTATTCAAGTGGTAAGCGTAGGGCTTAGAGAATAGAAGCCTGGGAATGCCCCCCCCACCTCGAGTCGGAAAATATCTTGTATTTATAAATATAATATCATTTTAAAGGCTAATAAAAATTTCCCATCAATCTTCCCCCCCCCCCCCACTCACCTTCCCTAATAATTTAGGGAGAAATATAAGAGAAAAAGCTTTGCAAATCAAGAAAATGTAATCGAGGGGAAAAGGCCTTGCAGTAATTGAGTTTAAAGAACTCCAATCAAATTTATGGAAGAAATCCACCTAATAATGCCTTTCGTTCCCCTGTCCCTAGCAAGTTCCTGGTAAAGGCTATGGCAGTTAATGTTGTACTTTTTCTTGTATTATGCAAATAGGACCCTGTTCAGTAGTTATATGTTGAGGGAAGAGGACAATATAATTATAATGATACCTATTTTATGAAATGGGAGGGGGGGGTAGGATTGAATACAATTAATTTAGTAAAACTATTTAATAATAAGAGATATATTGTTAATACAATAATTGACATAATGGTTTTAACTAAATAAAAAGTTAGATAAAAATATTACGTCTTCATTTGGAAACATTGTCGTTGGCATGGGGGGGGGGGGGAATTTATTAATTTATTAAATTGATAATATAAATGCTTAAAAAAAAATTTTCAGTATTTGTATGTTTGTTTTTATATTTTTTTAAAATAAATTTAAAATTTATCTTGCCAAAAAATTTGTCTATTTTCTCTTATATTCCTTTTCTTTATATAAATCTTACCTTCTCAAAATCGTTATGAAGAAACGATCTTTAATTTATTCCTATTTCAACAAATGTTAAGCGCAGATAACGCCATTTTGAAAAACGGTTAACTCTATAGGTAGAAAATTTTTTTGCTGAAGTCTCCAGATTTCGCTAATAGATGCTTAGAACTTTTGTACCATTTATGAGCAAAATCTTCAGGGTTGCGTAATATTTTTCTGGATAAAATAGTGTTAACCGTTTTTAAAAATCTACTCAAAATGAGCCGTTTAACAACATTAGCCAC